AGCTCTCCAAATAGCTTTCTTTGTATTGGGGTGTTTTGGGGCCATTGACTTGTTCGGGTTTCTTGATAAAGAATGTTAAAAAAAAAAGAAAAATACATATTGTCAATTTATATACCAGAATACATATCTGTAGCATTTTACGTCTGGAGAGACGATCTTTTCCCTTTGCAACTTCTTGTGTGACTAAAGAGGCCAATCCTTGATACACAGCTGCGATCGCAGGTTAGGCATATATAATCACCAGGCGCCGTTGCATTTTCACCCTTCTTTCTGCTTCTGTTGTGTATGACATCTGCAATCTGTGACCCTTCCTTTATGCTCTCTCTCCATGTGGATCTGTCCAGTGCCACCTCTTCCCAGTTGCCAGTGTCGATTTCGAAGAGCTTCATGTCGCGTTTGCATACATCCGTATAACGTCAAAGTGGACGACCAGCGTCTCTCCTGCCTTCTATTAGATCGCCATACAGAATACATATAATACTTCAGAATACTGAATATCACCGCCACTCACTAATCAAGGAACATAAAAAGCACCAAGATACCTGTGTGTAGTCGCTGAATGAACTCTTTATGTTGTCTGTTGTATTTATGTGTATTTTTCTGTTGTGTTGTCTTTATATGAGAAAAGAGTCCTTGTAATCACAACAAATTTCCGTAAGGGTCAATAAAGCAGTCTTAGTCTTAGTCTACTGTGTTTTTTTTTTAATTCATGGTATTTTATTTCCTCAACAAATATAAACACATCGTCTGCAAAAAGTTTCTTAAAGCTGGTCATTGACACGGAGCAAACGTAGAACAAGTGACGTCTGCGTTTCATGAGATAAGTTTTAATAGAACTATAGTCAGCCGCTGGTGTCTTTTCATAAGAAAAGTTATGTATGTCCATTAATATCCTAAATATTTTTTTTTGTAAATACAATAATAAAAAAAAAAGGATAGCAACATATTTATTTGAAAGCCTATATTATGTTGTAGTGAAAGGTTTCCTAGAAGGCATAATTTAAAACTTCTTACAGAAATTTGGTGCATAAAAACAGTCGAGAGCTTTCAAAATATAGGGGATTTAAGCATGGGTCAAAACAAAATGCTACAAAAATTTACAAATATTAAGGATTCTATTAGTAGTCTTGGCAAGGACTGTAATTAAAAGAAAACAACAACAACCTTAAAACCGTGTCAATATATTAATTTCAATATTTACATAAATACAAATTACTCACCAACGAGCTTATCTGCAGAGGTGAAGATAACGACCAATGTCAAGGTTAAAGAAAGGAACGACAACCTCATGTCGTCTGCTATTCTCTTGCCAATTCTTGCCAAATAATCCACACCGAGAACAGCTCCTATACGAAAAAGAAACATTCCAAAATGTATTTCGGAACTATCCCGCAAACTCTCAAGTCCAGATAGCTAAACCCGGCTGACCTCATAAAAATTTCAGCCATTCTGTCAGCCAGCATGAGAAGGAAATTGGTTGAAGTTGGATCTTCCTTTGATCATAGTTCACTGGTCACATCGTCTGCTAAGTTTCTATTATTCAATTAAACGTATTTAGATGGTCAACAAGGAAGATAAGCGCACATGTAAATGTCAGGTTTTATAACTCTCACAGATAGGCAATTTCAAAACGCATTTAAAATATTTTTTAAAATTTAGATCTATAGTAAGAAGAAGCTTTTAATATAGTAAAGAAAACATTCGTTGAATAAGTTTGTCAAAATACTATTTGTACACATTTTGTACACATTTAGTACAATCATTTTTAGGTTTTTTTTATATAAAGAATATTAAAAAGCCAATGGAACTGTCTTAGGTCCACTACTTTTCTTAATTTACATAAATGATTTACCAAATTACATTACCTCAGAAATAAAAGTCAGATTATTTGCAGACGATTGCATAATAGGCCTATATAGAACAATAAAAAAAAAAACACAAGACACAGATATTTTACAAAGAGAATTAGATGAATTACAGAAATGTCAGCCGCTGGTGTCCTTTCATAAGAAAAGTTATGTATGTCCATTAATATCCTAAATATTTTTTTTTTGTAAATACAATAATAAAAAATGTCAGTTGTTAAGAGTAACAAAAAACTAAAACAAATTAATTCCACTTATCTTATTCATGGCAAACCAGTAACACAGACTAAAAACGCAAAATACCTAGGTGTTATAATAAATGAAAAACTGTCATGGAATCCACATATTGATGAAACTATTTTAAAAAATCAAACAAAGCATTAGGATTTATTAAAAGAAATTTCTATAAATCAAATAAGAACATAAAACTAAAATGTTATTTAACCTTGGTTAGGCCAATAATAGAATATGCATCGTCCGTTTGGGACCCCTCGACTCAATATAACATTAAAAAACTGGAACAGACACAAAATAGAGCAGTGAGATTCATAACAAATGAATATTCCCATTTGACTAGAGTAACACCATTAGTAAAATCACTAAATTGAGAAAGCCTTCAGGACAGAAGGCTCAAAAGTAAAGTAGCAGTTATACATAAAACACTGAACCATAATCTTCAAATACAAAAACAAAATTTAATAAAATACTCTGAAAGACACAAAGATAAAGGCACATTCCTCGTCCCATATGCTAGGACAAATTTGTACAAATACTCCTTCTTCCCTAGTGCTATTAGAGCATGGAATGGGTTGCCTGAGCTAGCCAGGAAAACCAGTGACTTGGCAGAATTTAAGTCATTGGTTAATATGCATGACTGAATGCATGACGCGTAGGACGTAATCATCTTCTTTTTTGAAGTAACGTCTGTATTATATAAGATAAGATATTCGTATTTTTGTATACCTCAGCTGACTTTGACCTAATTAGCGTTTTTGACCCAAATTTACCGCATTTACTGTACATTCAGAAATGGAAGTTCCACTTTCTTTCAACACCGATTGCTGTTTTATTTCAAATCTTTAAAAAAATCTAATGACAGTCCTAGGTATCACGTTTAAAGACCGAATCACAAAACAAGAGATTAGAGACAGTGTTACTGAAGCGATTGGACCCCATGATGACAAGCTAACTATCGTTAAAAAAAACGCAAGCTAAAAATCTAAGGCCATATTACAAGGTCTTCGGGGTTCGCAAAGACCTTTCTTCAGAGAACAGTACCAGGAAAAAGAAGAAGAGACAAAAAAGCGATGGAAAGATAACAAAAAAGAATAGACTTGGCCTTCCACTGAAAGGCAGAAAGGCAAAAGATAAAGAGGAATGGAGACAGACGGTCAGTAAATCTTGCATGGTGCCCCAACGGTCCAACAGACTACGAGAAAGGTAAAGGTAAAAATGACAAGTATAAAAGATATGCACATTTCATCTTTTATATAAAAGCGTGTTTTTAGATATTAATTTAATATAAAGTCAGATAAGTAAGACCACAAGAGAGATAATTTAGAGCACCATGAGAGAAAATTTAAACACAAAGAGAGAAAATTAGCTCTGCAGAAGAAGGCAATTTAGAACACAAAGAGAGATAATTTAGGGCATTAAGAGAGGTAACTTACGATGAGCCCAAAAGTTCATTTATGAGTTTAATTATTTTCATTACCACAAACATTGAGTTGGTTAAAAGAGTACTAAAATCGAATAAACAAAACGACACGTTCCGAGTTATACAGTGTATACGTTATTAGATAGCACACAATCTTAAAAACTAGGGAAATTACACATATGAATTTAAAAAAAAAACCGCGCTACTAATAAATAAGATTAATAGGGTTATATTATTTTCTAAATTATAACTGTACACATTTTCGAATGTTTTACGAGTCTGATATCTAGCATGTTCAATCCCATTCGCGCCATGAATAGGGGGGGGGGGGGGGAGGTCACCGTTCAATAGCTTTCATATGTCTCATTATTGCAAGATTTATCTTGTAAAATGTATTACATGTCTTGGATATTCCTACAGAGTTGAAGATCGTTTATTTCCTAATCCAAACCTAAGTATGAACCCGGGACCATCGAACGACAGTCCAGCGCGCAAACCGCACGACCAAGCAGCAATCCTTCCATTAGCTTAGTGAATTAAATATAAAGCAAATTTAATAATTTACTAATTGATTAACTTATTGATTTTTTTAAAATGATTGTTTGTTGTCATCGACAATACAATGTTACGTTTTCAACTTGATTCGAGATTTGAAAGTGGGAGAAATATCGTGTTCAAGATATTGACCAGACAAACAGACGGAATGAGTGGATATAAGCTTGGTAAAAAAAACAGCCTCAAAAGATAATAATCTAGCTTAAATGCTTATAATTGTTTCTTTGTGATGTGTTATTATACTACTAGGTATTGTGTGTGTGTGTGTCGATAGCAAACAAAAGCCACTCAACTCTTTCATGAGTAAAGTTTCCCCTTTCAGAACTTGTGGTGTAAAATTCATCTGTTTCTGTGGCCTACGGTTAACGAGGGTGTCATGTGACCAGCACAACGACCAACCACCTTTACTTTTCCCCAACTTATGTCAGGTACCCATTAGAGCTGGGTGGACTCGTAATTAAAAATCCCAGTCTTCACCAGGATTCGAACCAGGAACTCTGGTTTGGAAGCCAAGCGCTTTACCGCTCAGCCACCGAGCCTCCACAAATCATTCCTTTTTCTTACAATTGATATTATACAGAACTACGTTCATCCTCTCAGTTAAATCTCGATTAAATCTCAGTTAAATCTCGGTTAAATCTGCAGGCATGTGACATTCTTTGAATTGTCATTTTTTGTTTGATTAACCGCCTATGTGTCCAACATGGCATCTTTTTAGCATTCATCTTCCGTAGGCCCGGATACAAGGAAGGGGCTGATCATGGTTGTGGGAGGGGGTGTGTGGAGGAAAGGGAGATAACGAGACAAGAGAAGACCACTCGAGACAAAAGCCTCTAATAGCCTCCAAATTGTGAGCTAATGAAGAACACAGGGAGGGAAAGAGAGGAGAGAGGGAGAGAGAGAGAGAGAGAGAGAGAGAGATCGAGAGGGAGAGAGAGAGAGAGAGGACCAGATAAGAGAGGGAACGTGCGCCCAACAAAATCTCTCGTGCAGTCTACCGTAGTCCAGCTCGGTCAACCTTCTACTCCCCCCCACTGACCCTCGTGGCTTAATAATGTGAAGTGGTTTATTCATTTCTTCTCTGGAGAATTACCATCTGCTCCGAGGGGCTCGTGGGTTCAAGTTTCAATGCAACGTTAGGCATTGTCAGGGTGCAACAATTTTGTTGGGCTTTTAGCATTTCTAGCCAGCCCGCTCCCCTCCTTTTAACATCCAGTTAGCTGATAACAAATTAATATTTAGGCGTACTCAGCAGACGTCCATGTGATATCATCGGATTGCCATTTGTTATTTTCTTTTTTTTTACAAAGCTTCTGTCTGTCTGCTTGTCTGTTTGTCTGGTAAAAGAGTTTGTACACGTTCTTTTCTCCACACTCATTCTAGGACCAAGTTGAAACTTTGCACAATGAGATTTGTGATTTTGGGCACATCGGCACAATTTAGGCCATGTCGTGCCTGCAGTCCCTCAAGGGCCACTCTCCCTCCACACAGCAAAGGCCAAATTCCATACAGTCAAATCATTAAAATCAAGGTCTATTCACAGTTAAAATAGTAGAGGTAGTAAAAATTTAATAATTTGGTAAAAATCTAATGTAAATAGTACATGTCTACAGAATTCATAAATCAGATCTTCGTAGACAACCCCACTTCCCGGATAAAGCCCAGTACCTTCCCAGGGTCGACATTATTGAATAGTGTTTTTAAGTTAGTGGCTCTAAAATATTTTTCCCTGACATCCTGGTATCTGGGACAGTCGATGAGGATATGTTCCACGGTGAGGCGAGAGTCACAATACTCACAAAGTGGGGGCTCTTCTTTCTTCAGCACAAAAGAGTGCGTGATGTAGGTGTGGCCAATCCTAAGTCTGGACATGGTCGTGCTACCACGCCTTGTCAGACCCTTAGATGTGGACCGCCACCTGACATCCGCCACAATCTGCCTGAGTTTATTGTGAGTCTCAGCCTCCCATCGGTCCTGCCACTCTTGGTAGATGGCAGAGGCAATACTTTGTCTCAGGTCTGAGCAGGGAATTTGAGTTCCTGACACCGCATGATTTAGGGCTCTCTTTGCTTCTCTGTCTGCGGCTTCGTTTCCCTCAATGCCCACATGGGAGGGGATCCAGATGAAGGTGACATCCGTATTGTCGGCTGTTATTTAGTCCAACAGCTTCAGGCTCTTATGTACCAGTGGAATGTCAGTCTTCATCCGCCCCAAAGCTTGCAATGCAGATTTGGAGTCGGAGCAGATTATAAATTTCCTCCTTTCTGATGCTTTGACGGCCATAAGTGCAAGCGATATTGCATGCAATTCGGACGTAAAGATGGAGCAGCCATCGGGGAGTCTACGGGAGATTGTTTTGTTCCGAAAGGAGCAGGCACACGCGACCTTTCCATCCATTTTAGATCCGTCTGTGTAGATGGTGCCACAATCTCCGTAGCTCTCTTGCAGTTCCCTAAAGTGGACTTGTAGTATGCTTGGGTCTGTATTTTCTTTTTTGAAATTAAGGAGGGATAAATTTAATTTGGGTTTATTCATTAGCCAAGGAGGATTCTGAGGGGTTTCTATTTTAGAGATTTGGTTAATGGGTGGAGTTAAATTTTGGATGGGTTCTCTCATTCGAAGGCCTAACGGCTGTATGACGTTAGGCCTTCGATTGTATAATTCTACCTCTGTGGGGTTAAATATGGAATCGAAAGCAGGGTTCGTAGGGTTGGATTTTAGCTTGACTATATACTGCATTGCAAGCTTTTTCATTCTTATATCCATGGGGAGTTCTCCAGCCTCCACATGGAGGCTTGGGATAGGTGATGTACGAAACGCGCCGAGGCAGAGACGCAGGGCAGCATTTTGTATTGGTTCCAGTATTTTTAGGTACGACTTCCTTGCTGCTCCATATATTATGGATCCGTAGTCTAGCTTGGATCGAATTAGACTCCGATATAGCAGCAGCAAAGTATCTCTGTCAGCTCCCCAGTCCGTATGGCTGAGCACTCTAAGTATGTTTAATGACTTTTGGCATTTTCTCTTAAGTTCCTTAATGTGGGGGAGAAAATTAAATTTGGAATCTAGAGTGAGGCCTAAAAATTTTGTAGTTTTCACGACAGGGATCTTCTTTTTGTGTATAAATAGTTCAGGGTCTGGGTGGAGTCCCCTTAAATTACAAAAATGCATACTAACTGTTTTGGAGTCCGAAAATTTAAAACCATTATCGTTTGCCCAATTTTGAATTTTGTTTAAACATAACTGTAATTTTCTTTCTAGGGTGTTCATGTTTTTCCCATAAGTAAAAATGACAAAGTCATCAACATACAAAGAGCACTCTATGCCAGGGGACAGAGCATTTATGATGCTATTTATTTTAATGTTGAACAGGGTGACTGACAGAATGCTGCCCTGGGGCACACCCATTTCCTGGTCATGAATGTCAGAAGTGGTGTTGCCCACTCGAACCTGAAATTTTCGGTCTTTCAGGAATTCCCCCACAAAACGGGGAAGATGTCCCTTAAGCCCCATAAGCTCCAGGTCACGTAGAATGCCATGTTTCCAGGTTGTGTCATAGGCCTTTTCTATATCGAAGAATACAGCTACTAGATGTTCTCTTCTGAGTAATGCATTTCTGATACAAGCTTCCAGCCTTACCAGGTGGTCAGTTGTTGTCCGCCCTTGCCGGAATCCGCACTGGTAGTTAGAGATCACTTTGTTCCTCTCCAGGTACCAGACCAGCCTACTGTTAATCATTCTTTCCATGGTTTTGCAGATGCAGCTTGTTAGTGCTATTGGTCGATAGTGATTCATTGACAACAAATAGAATACATGAATCAATAACAAATAGTAATAGTAATAATAATAATAATAATAATAACATCCTCCTTGTCTGTCAGAGGGCGGTACTGCTGCAGACCTGCCACATCACCAGAAAATTTCTCAGTGGAAACTGTTAAAGGGACTACGATGAATCTTGTTTCTCTTTAACGAAACTCGACCCTGGCAGCGCCAGAGAATGAATACTCGTTCGTTTCTGACATAAAAAAATAATTATTATTATTATTATGATAATAATAAAGCTTTGAGTCCATAAATTAATGAGGAATGCTGCAACCTACATATTTTGCACATGTAGCGCAAGCATAACCATTGAATCAATAACAAACAAATTATAAATTAGTCTGATACAAATACAAGTGCGCTATACAAAAGCAATTAAAGAAATAAACATTTTTAAAATAATTATTTTCTATTACTTTGAAATCAAACAAGCCAAAGTTTTGATTTAGATTTTAATGTGACCCAAACTAAATTTGGTGGCTAGAACCGGAGAATAAAAAAAAGTTTAAAAAAAATAATGGAAGGTGCTAAAATGTTATTTGTTTGAACCATGGTTTGAACTTATATGTCTATGCTTTGAACATGACATATGCTTGTGTGTAATAAAAATGTGAACTTCTATTAACCTTATTCTCGAAACGAAACGTTTGTCAAATATAGCTTTATTACGTTGAACTTTTTAAGCGTCCCCTGAAAGGGGAAAAGCCGCTATTAGTTTGGTGTAGTCTGTCCGTCCGTCACGTTTAGATGTTTAAAACTAGAAAAGCTATTGAAAATCCAATTTCACCATATTTTGCAGCTTTTAAAGTTTACGTGTAACCGCTACTTCTGAAAGCAACCATTTTGTTTTTGAAATTAGTTATGAAAACTCTTTTCCCTAAAAAAAAAAATACACAACTTTTAAACGAATTCTTCTTCTTCTTCTAGCCAGCTTTATTGCTGCTGAGCTGCAAGTTCTTTTGCAGACTGTGCCAAGGAAAAAAAGTGTGCTGTTTTCTTCAGTTGTTCAGCACTGCCGTATAGGGTGTTGGTTATGTTAAACTAAACAAGAAGATCCTTGAGACTTTTTACGGCGCGACTATACCAAATCTGCTAACATACGGAATAACTTGTTGGCAAGGCAATGTCTCATCCAAACTGTTGCGACGCCTAGAAAACATCATTAAAAAAGCATCAAAAATTACACTCACAACATTACCACATTTAAAGGAATTTTTTGAACAAAAGTGCCTAAGGAAAAATCATGGAAGACAACGGCCACCCGCTCCATCAGAACTACGTCAGGTCGTTGCGAAGTGGGCGACTGCTGTCAATCAAAACAAGAACGGAGCGGTACAAAAACTCGTTCGTACCTCACTCGGTCAGACTCTATCACCGCCACTCATTGATCAGGGAACATGAAATGCACCAAAATAACTGTGTGTAGTCGCTGAATGAACTCTTTATGTTGTCTGTTGTATTTATGTGTATTTTTCTGTTGTGTTGTCTTTATATGAGAAAAGAGTCCCTGTAATCGCAACAAATTTCCGTAAGGATCAATAAAGCAGTCTTAGGCTTAGTCTTTTCTTTTAGTGATATTCAAATGATGGATATAATAATTACAATCTGAAAATCTTCTTAGCCTTTTTTGAATTCGATAGATGCAATACGGTGGTGGTTTAGACTAGTACATGGGGAATAGTTTAATTAATCGGACTGGGTTTAACTTTTTGTTATATCAAAAATACTGAATTAGCCCTTTGAAATCTAACGTAAAGTGGGTTTTTAAAAACTATCTCACATGTTTTGAGACAGTCTTTAAAGCCATACATTTCATGTATTTCCAGGATGGAGACTTTACTGTTTTTTAGACCATACAATTCATGTATTTCCAGGGGGAGGCCAAATGCCTTTATATCACCCTGCTGAGAATACCTACATACAATGAGGTTAGTGAACCGAGGACTGTCATTCCAGGTTTCATATTCCTAATCAAAATCCTGATGCACCAGGACAAGTTGCAGGACTCCAACCTTTGGATCTGCAGATGAACCACTTGATCAGCTTAAATTTGGTTTTAGCTTCAAATTCAAACCACCATTCAAAGATATACCAGAAGAGATGTGACAAATATTGTTTAATCTTTATTGGCTATCTAGATCAAGAGACCATATTCCAGAATCATTCTACTGGAAGTCTTCACCAGAGATCATATTCTGAAATCGTTCAATAAGCAATTTCCACCAACAGACCATATTCCGGAATTGTTCTTTAAGTAACTAAAGAAACTATATTCCGGAAGTGTCCAACTGCAAGTTGCAAATCCATTCATGTTTTTTTTTACTTTTTGTACATCAACTGTAACCTAACAGCACACTTGGATACATGTCTTTGTCTCTCTCTGGTTTGTCATTACTAGCAGAAGTTTGCTCGTATGGAGCGGGAAAGACGTGGCGTAGTGTTACTCTGGTGACCTTTGACATCACAGGAAATTCGTGCAGGGAATAAAAAGGAAGCCTGCTATATATCACTACGCCTGGAGCTCCAATCCCAATGATTGTGTGCGTGCGTGCGTGTGTTGAGGTTGATTCCATATATAATGTGACGCTAGCAGCGATAACTATACTGTGTTATGGTGAGTCATGATTTTATGAATCTGTGTGCAGTTTTAATCACCTTGTTTCTTATGCGAAGACAAATATTGTTCGAAGATCATTTGCATACCCATTTAACCTAGTGTCCGAATATGTTATTATGTTGATGTTTTGTCTTTCTATTTTTTTCGAATAATGTGCCGAGACAATCCAGTATAACGGATACATTTAAAACATACAATGTAACATGCAAATGAATAGGGATATACCAGGCCGGATTTATTGTAGGGCAGGCGGGATTACAGCAGGGGCATTCACGAGAAAGGGGCCCCCACAAAGAGAAAAAAAAAAATTTCGCTGGGTCAACAACTTTATGCTTTTTTACAAATACATTTTTTTTTCGCATTTTTATCAACAATACTTTAAATCTTACAGTTGGCAACGCTGTCGTGTTTACATCCCTGCTCTAATACCATGTCTTAGACTTGAGTAATAATAATAATAAATCTTATTTTGAACAAAATCCAATTTACTTAAATGTTTTTTTCACTCTAGCAATCTTTTCTACCTAAGACGATGACAACAAAGCCGTTTATCTTGCACCATTCACACTACATAGCCGCCAACCAAATTGCTAACGTTTTCACACCGTCACCATAGAAACACACACACACACACTACATAACAAGAGTACCTCAAACTGTTTAATCGACTAGCCTTATAGACACGCGTACCACATGTTGACAGCCCTGCTCTGCGTACCACACGTTGAAAGTCCTGCTCTGCGTACCACATGTTGACAGCCCTTATACACGCATACCATATGTTGACAGCCCTGCTCTGCGTACCACATGTTGACAACCCTTATACACGCATACCACATGTTTACAGCCCTGCTCTGCGTACATGTTGACAGACCTGCTCTGCGTACCACATGTTTACAGCCCTGC